GCGACTCTTTCTGAAAATAGTAAGGAAAGGCTCTCAAATTCCCAAGGCTGTACATTTTATAGGAGCAGAAAGCTTCATCTTCTGCCCACAGAGTGATGGGTGGATTTGAACTGCTGACCTAGCAGTCAGCAGCCCAACACACAATCCATTAAGCCACTAGGGCCCCTTCTGAACAGCTCTTGTTGTTAAGTATCATCCAGTCAGTTCCAACTCATAGCAATCCTGTGAGTGGCTGGTGGGTTTGAACCGCCAACCTGGTGATTCGCAGTCCAGTACAGATCCTACAATGCCAAACCCGGAATCCTCTGAACAGTCCTGTTGTTGTTGTTGTTAAGTGCTGTTGAGTTAGTTGTGACTCGTAGCGACTCTGTAAGTGGCTGGTGAATATGAATCGCTGACCTTGCCCACAGTGCCACACCAGGACTCCCAACAGCCCTGTTGTTGTTGTTGTTAAGTGCCATCGAGTCGGTTCCGACCCATAGCGACCCTGTACAGCCCTAGTAGGGTAAATATTATGGCCTCCTATTACATTAGATGAGGCAGCTGAGAATTTACCCCTGACCAGATGGGAGGGAAAATGAGCTGAAGGAATGGGCATTTTGAGCAGAGACAAGGAGGTGGAAATACTCAAAATACCGTGAGGACAGCGAGAAAACCAATCTGATGGGGCAGAATTTTTGTTAAAAAAATGATTAGAAATTTCTGGTGGATGGGATCAGATTATAAAGATTCAAGTCCCAGGGTTTTTTCTTCGTTGTCTGGGGAGGGTGGCTGTAAGAAGCGGCAGGGTGGGTGAGGGTAGGTGGGAATGCAGTGGCCTTGGAAAGAAACACTCCTGTGCATTGGATGTGGGAGAGAATGGAGTTGGGAAAACCAGGTAGGAGGCTCTGACGGTAAAAACAGCTTTGAGGGCTGGCCTTGGTTGAAGTAATAGGAAGTATACAGGAAACACCAGTGGACAGACATGGTGATTGATTGGGAATGAGAGGACCAAAAGGACCCACCATATCTAAAATCAGTATGTATATTTGATTCAAGAGTATGAATTGTTTTTTACTTTCTACTGTGAATTCTTTGTCTCCTGTCAATTTGAGACCCCTTCCTTACTATTCCCATAAAATTGCTCTTCCTCTTCAGTTTGATCTTATTGCTTCTGTGCATTCATTTCCTCAAAAGATATTTGTGAATGCCTCCTATGTTCCCCCCCCCATTTCCAAACCTGTATGATTTCTGTGTGCATCCTTCTCAAAATACAAATGTACACAATTGGATAACAGTGTCGAAGGAGCACCTTCCTGGAACTCCTCAGTGACAAGTGGAAACCGATACCTTTTAAGCATGTGCAAGCAGAAACTATTTTATTTGAGGCCTCAGTAATATAATTTAGAAATCAGAACCAATCAGCACTTGACACAATTTCGTACACAATGATTTTAAGGAATTAGTGATGCTGAGACTAAAGCAACAGGTACTGGACTTTTATATGTTTACATACAGGTTTACTCCTATAAATATGGTAAAGCTACGCATCTGGAAACATAATGACTTTTATTTCTGTTGGTTTTAACTATTTTCATGAGGCATTGCCACATAAATGACATATTTTGAAGACCTGACCAATTTTTAGTAAAACAAATGTTCTTTGAAAGTTAGATTTCACATAGTTAATATTTGCACTGGGGAAAGGGTTAAGCAAAATGTACTTAACAAGATTAAATTGAAGCAAAGCATAAATTGAATATGGTTAGGGCCTATTTATCCCATAGAAAAGTTTTATTTAAAATACATCCTGACCAAAAGCTTATTATTGAAATAAAACAAGAGGCATAAAGAGTTACAGGCTTCTAATAATTTTATTTCAGCCCCAGTTCCCTTTGCACAGTTATCAGCATGTTTAATTTCCATGTATAATGGCACTAGTTATTGTTGTCATTTGTAAAGGGAGAGTAACAGATAGTAAGTACAAACAAACCCCAATAAGTACTGAATAGAGAGGTGACAAAGAAGAAAAGACCTCTTTAATGGTAATTATAACTGCTAGGAAGTCTAGACAAATTATATTATCTGTTTCTTATATGATTTGAAGGGATATTCAGTTAGTAACTCTGTTGGAGATAGATTTTGGTGTTTGCTTTCAAAACAAGGTGATATGACAACTTAGCATCTCCCTGGTTGGCAGCTCAACCAATGAGTTGTGAAGTCATAGTAAATTGAAGGACTCAGGTATCATAAACGGCTGAACATAATTTTAACTTTCTGAATATTATTTCTTTAATTAAAATATAATTTGAACCAGGAGAGGAAAGAAGAGGGGAAAAAGAAAAAAGAGTGAGCTAATACAGTCTGATGAACTTGACCTATACCTATGGAGTAGCGACTCAAAAGAGGGAACAAATCCTCACAGCAACAAACATTCACACACCCCCACACACAGAGTGGACGGAGAAGGGCAGCTTGGACATTGGATACTCAAATTGGGAGGGGAGGACTACAAAGGCAAGAAGTGACTGGCTTACAAGCTTTCAAGAGGGAACCTAGTGCTAGGGAGCATGGCGGAAGGCAGAATCTCCAGTAGGTACTATTCAATCTGTCTGGGCGGAGCTGATGAAAGGAGATACAGATGGGTAACTCATGGTACTGTAGTGAATAATGCCTATCAGGATGGACTATGAGGGTTGGAAATGCAAAGGTAGAAGTTTTGTAACAAGGAAGGGAGTGATTAAATCTCCAGGATAAGAGCGGAGGCCTCTGGGACCATCAATGGAAAAGAGCCGAGAGTAGGACCCTACCCAGAGAAACAGAGATGCCTGAGATGGAGGCAGAGATGATGATGCGGAGTGATGAAGCAACTGGGGATTTCATTGCCATGGTTACAGTCCCCTCCATGCGTCATCAACCAACCAAAGGGTATACCCCTATCAGCCTGCCCCCCCCCCACGCCCCATTGTCAGCACACAGCCCCTCTCCCTCTCTGTGTGTAAAGTTCCCAACTGCTCCATCTCTCCACGTCATTGTCTCTGCCTCCATCTCAGACATCACTGCTTCTCTGGGTAGGGTCCCGCTCTCCACTCTTCTCCCTTGATGGTCCCAGGGACCTCCGCTCCTAGACTGAAAAGTTAATCACTCCCCTCCTTGCTACAAAATGTCTACTTTTACATTTCCAGCCCTCACAAGCAGTCCTGATAACAATTATTCACTATTATATCACAAGAGACCTATCCGCATTTCCTTTCATCAGCCCCACCTAGACAGATTGACTACTACTCAGTGGAGATTCTACCTTCCTCCATGCCCTCTGGATCTAGATTCCTTCTTAAAAGCTTGTAAGTCAGTCACTTCTTGCCTTTGTAGCCCCCCCATTTTGTGTATGCTTGCTTATTTTTAATTGCCTTGAAAATTGAATGGGTCAGGGCTGTAGTTGACAATGTTTCCTTTGTATATATGATACCAGATACAATGTAACAAACTCAAATGAATGCTAAAGGAATGTTCACTCTTGCATATTTTATCTGTGGTTTGCTTGAATTCTACTGTGTCCTTTATTTTTATTTCTAAATGGATAATTCTAGAAACAGCTAGGCTCCCCTTTTTGTATTTATAGGCTGCATTTCAAAGTTACAATCTGTGACTGCTGTCCACAATTCATCTCTATATCTCCCATGCCAGGAACAGGGTTCTTGAATTCTTTCATTGGTGTACCATCAACCTAGTGTGGTGCTGTGGTTAATGTACTGGACTGCAAAGTTGGTTTGAACTGCAAGGTTTGTGGTTCAAGCTCATCAGCTATTCCTCAGAAATCCTATACAGGGTCGCTGTGGGTCACAACCGACTCTACGGCACTTCGCCACCACCATCAATTGTGAGCTGCGCTCTTAATAGCCTTCTGAAGGAGCAATAAATACCTCATTAAAAATATATGTCAATGGCAAATGCAGTTGAGTTTCAGGGACATTAAAATTAGAATAATAATGGGTCCTGGAATAAAGAAAATATGATCAATATCCCCAAATTGAAACAAACAGTTACCAGTAACTCCTTCCCACTGAATGCTTATTCTGAGTCTCGGTCTTTAGCTGGGAGGACCCTCATGACTCCATCCCCTCTGCATTGTTCAGCATTTTAGTTGGTACAACACAACTTGGTTCTTCAAGTCAAACCATATTGAATTGCCTTTGGTGTTTGTGTATGTGGAGCCATACTTCCCTCAGCACTGGATGACTTGTGCATCAACCAGTGCAAGGGAGAATAACTGAAAGGAAGTGAGAAGAGGATTGTAGAGGATTCTAAAGGATAGAGAACTGGGTAAGCTTCTGAAGGGAAAAAAATATCTTTGGAAACATTGCACACAGTTCTATACTTCCAGAAAATGTGTAACAAAGAATCTGCTTTAATTTTAAATAAGACAGTTATTTACATGTACTGTTTCTTTTATGTCAAATATAGTTTTAGGCACTAAAATGTCTTAACATCATTCTAACCCAATCAAGTCGGTACTGGTGTTGCGTCCATGTCAGAGAAGAAAGCTGAGTGCTAAAATTAAGTAACACTCCGAACTTTGGTAATGGTCTTTAGTAATGTACCAAAACCCATTGGTTTATATTCTGTCTGTAATCAGAAATGTTTAAGAAGCTCTGTTGTGTGTATGTGGTGTGTATTGCCTTATATTTCTTTTAAGGAAAGGAAATAATACTTCATTTGTGTTTTGTTTAACTTGATAAATTCCCTATTTTGGAATTTTGGGGCATAGCTGACTGAGCCTATCAGGAGAGAAAGATAACACTAGCCTTTTTGCATCTGTATGGAAGGTGTATGTGAAAAATGTCTGTCTTGATAGTGAGAGGATTTGTATTTGTTAGTGATGCTCTGTATAGGGTTTCTGAGGAGTGGCTGGTGTGTTTGAACCACCAACCTTGTGGTTAACAGTCCAGTGCTTATCTTACAGCTCAACGCCAAGACTATATTGATGGTAATAAGACAAATTTTTTCCCCCCCTTCTCCAGGGCTGGTTGATATGTGAAGAGCAGACTTGTCGGAATCGAACTCGGCACCTCCCACTTCACTTCTCCCGAAATGGACCTCTTTGCCAAGTCTGCATGAAAGCTACACTTAGACCAGAGGTAACAGTCTTGTGTTTTTCCATCATTTAGCTCTGCTTAGTAGATACTTGGCATTTGCCCTGTGGAAATACCCTACAATCACAAGCATATATTCTAGAAAATATACAAACTTCCAAAAGATAACGTGCTTTCTTTTTTTCACATGCTATGAGCAGTAATTTTTGTATATGTAAAAAAAGAAACAGATTAGTTTTCATGCGAGCTACTCAGATTTCTTTGGTTGCCACTTTGTAACTCCAGAGAAGAGATACCTTTCCTTTCTAGAAACTGCTGTCATCTTTCTATATGATCAGAATCACTATTGTAAGCGCCAGAAAACATCCCAAGCCTGTACCCTAAGGGGTTTATTTTCCTTGTGGTTTTCATCCTCCTTGGAATTAAGTTGTTTTAAAGTAGCAGTAAGGAACTCTGGTATCGTAGTGGCTATGTGTCGGGCTGCTAACCTCAAGGTCAGCAGTTCGAAACTGCCAGCTGTTCCTTGGGAGAAATATGAGGCTTTTTGCTCTCTTAAAGATTTGCAGCCTCGGAAAGCCTATACGGGGTTGCTATGAGTCAGAACTGACTCGACAGCAAACAACCACCACCACCACCACCAAAGTAGCAGCATAGATCAGTAGTTCTCAAGCTTCTTCTCTACCTTAATACACCTGAAGGACAAGGTATCCTATCATTAGTGACTGCAGCATAGAGTCTGGAAACACCCAGTGCCTTCCTTCTGATACACCCTTTGAGCAACATGAGCTTGGTGGAGCGGCATTCCCTAAACCGGATTGAGAGGAATGTTCATAGGCATTCCATGAAAAGGGGGTTTTGTGATCATGTACATCTAGCAAATGCTGGGCTGACCAAAGTGAAGCAAATTTTTTAACTGTAGATCTCAGAGATGTACCATGACAATGTGCTGTCTGCCAGCCCAAGAATTTGTGAGGTTTGGGATGGGAAGATGGCAAAAATAGAGATCCTGTAATTTATTTATTTATTTTTATACAGAGTTAGTTACTCTACTTGGAGTCCTGGTGTGGTACTGTAGGATAAGCACTGGACTGCAAGGTCAATTTAAACCTCAGGTGTCAGTCAAACCCACTAGTCGCTCCTTGGAAACCCTAAATAAGGTTGCTATGAGGAATATTTGTAATATTCCTTTAAGACAAATTCTTATGAGCAATACATTTCAAAGTACATAAATGCAAAGTGGTTATGATTCATATTACCAAATCCCTTTTCTGAAAAGTTATCCCAGCTTAAATCTTATACCAACACTTTATGAATGGACCAGGTTACCACAGCCTTCCCAGCATGTGGGCATTATCATTAATTTATTCTTAACTCATTTAATAAGCATAAAAAATGCCTTGCCTTAAATCCATCATGGCAAAAGAAGATTACTGGTTAATAGGGACTGGCGGAAAAGGGGGACACCAAAAGGGCCAGGGGTAAGTGAAACATTTAGACATCAAAATTTTCTTTAAATGTCCCTTGTCTTAATTTATATACCTTTGATAGTTAGCAAAGTCACATGTAGATTTTTTGTTTAAGTCCAGAACTTAGAGTGAAAATTAGCTGTAGTAGTGAATTCTTTTAACATCAGTCTCAGACCAAGATTGACATTAGCTGGTGCAGAAAGAGAAGAAAAGTGTACGTATTTGGTGTGACTCATCAAACCAGTTTCATGAACTGGTGCTGCCTTTGAGACTTTTTAATATCTAGCTCAAGTCAAGTTTGATGAAAATTGAAGTAGTTCTTAGGAAGTCAGCCAGTTGCATCATTCCATTCTTGGTGAGAACAAGTAAAAGGAGAATGTGTAGCTATTAAATCTTTAAGCTTCTAGTAAATGGTGTTGTTGCTAGTGGTTTCATGTATCAGGCTATCTTTTCTCATTTACTGCCCTTCTCAAAACTGCAACTATTTTAGGCAAGCATTTACGAAGGTTATCCACTGCTCATCTCAGAGGGAAGATTGACTCGACAGGTCACATTGCTGCTCAGGACATGACCCACTTGAACAACTCGGGCTTTAGAGCATCACTGGTTTGTGATACTGCCCTTAGCTCTTCCTCACAGAGACCTTGACCCTGGGACTTAGCCCACTCTACTCCATTTTGAGTTCCTAGTAATGAATGGGAATTTTCATAATCCAGAGACTTATCTATGAGGTTCCTGGTCAGAAGAATCTCTCTTTCCAAAGAGAGTTCCAAAGAAGCACCGGAAGCATCTGTGCAACGGCCAGGATGATTAGCTTTGTCATTGTTGTTTGGTGCCCGTGGGTCAGTTTCTACTCAGAGACCCCAAAGAATCTTCCAAAATGTCTGTTTTTCAGAATTATACTCATCTGGTTCTTCAGTTTGGGGATTACTTGTTGCAGTTACACAGTGTTTTCATTTAATCATTATGTATCAGTCACTTGCCATATCCTGGTATGGCGCTGTAAGATAAGCATTGGATTGCGAACCACAAGATTGGTGGTTCAAACCCACTTGCTGCTCCTCAGAAACCCTAAACAGAGCGCTGTGTGTCAGAACCTATTCGATGGCACTTAACAACAACTATATTCACTTTGCCAGGTGCTAGGAACGTATTGGAGTCCTGGTGTGGCTCTGTGGGTAATGCATCAGACTGCAAGGTTCATGGTTCAAGCTCATCAGCTGCTCCTTGGAAACCCTATATACAGGCTTGCTATGGGTTGGAATTGACTCCACAGCACTGAACAACAACAACAAGGAACATATCTAATGAACAGGATATTACCTTATGCATATATAAAACTGAGAGCTGTGAGCAAAAGTTGCCATGTGAGAATGTCTATTTAGACAAGTACCAGGCCTTCCTACTGCTTGACTAGTGTGGATGTTAAATATGTTGTTCATGTTTGAGGACAAAGCTCTAGCCTCTTCATATGCCCTTTCCTCATCCTGCAATGAATCTACTCGTGTTTAGTCCTTAGTTGCAGCTGGCTTGAGTACTTTCCAGAATTGACATGGAGAATAAAGGTTGGCTCTTCTTCTGCATCATGTTGCTAGAGTTATGAGAAGAAAGCTGGGACAGTTTTGTTACCGGGATTTTAAAGGTTGTGTCTTTTCTCTCTGCTCAGATACTTTCCTTGTATAATATCAGTAAAGACTTTTTAGGTTCATGGGAATTTAACAGTATGTAAATTGCTGCTTATTAAAAAATTGTTCTCTAGGTATTCTCTGCTATGTAGTGCATTTAAATAAGGGAATGAAAACTTTGATGCATGTTTAATTCCTAAGTAGAAGCCTTTGTCACACCGATGTTAGATGTAGAGCCTATCCAAGTTATAGAATAAACATTTTAATATCTCTTTATTTTAAAGGACATGGTTATAATGTGATCAGACTTTATGGACATAAACTGAATTGCATGGGGGAATTATGTATTATTTATAGTAGGTTGTCAAAAATAATGCTTTAGGTTTTTGTTGTTGGCATTCATCTTTTATTAGAGAACTAAGATTTCAAACCAAGTTAGGCTTTTTCTCATTAATATTTCCATTCTTCATGTGGAGATGAGAAGTGTCTACATGTGAATTTCTAGACCCTGGTAGAAACATTTTGTGAAATTGCAGTCCTTGCGGTAATAGCATTGAGATGATCCCATTGTTCAGTTGTTCATTCATCTAAATTTCTTCAAGTCCACTTAATGACTACATTGGGAGACCCGAGGGATTCTCACATTATCCTTAACTGTAAAATTTTCTAAATAAATATTTTGTTTAACTGAGCATAGTTAGTATATAGGACTTTTGTCCTTCAAAAGGAGCCCTGGTAGTGCACTGTGTTAAGTATTGGGATGCTAACTGTGAGTTGGTGATTCAGACCCACCAGCTCCTCCTCAGGAGAAAGATGAGGCTGTCTGCTTCCGGGAAGATTTGCAATCTTGGAAAACCCCATGAAGCAGTTCTAGTTTGCCCAGTAGGGTCGCTATGAGTTGGAATTGACTTGATGGCAGTGGATTTGGTTTTTGGTTTTCAGTCTCTTCAAGAAAGAGGTGGAGATAATGAGTTTTAAATTATTGTGGTTTCAAAATCAATGTGAATGAACTGATTTGATGAGTAGGTTAGGGACACTGAGAATGTTGTCAAGCTGTCTTAGCTGTGTCTTGTTTCTGCCTAGGAAGAAAATGTGGAAATAATTAAGGTGGTACACGTTTACCTTCTTCCAGGCATACACTGCTCCATTTTAATAGCACCTCGTGTTGGGGATTTTTCTACCACTTACAAACCCAACTGTCTTCCATATAGAAAGAAACCTTTGAAGTAGATGGAGGTTTTAAAGCATCTGTACCCACTTACTCTCCAGTAGAGAATACGCTTCTGCCATGAATGGCCTTTGGCAATCTCATTTGATTTCAGTGTTACTTACTGTTTGATACCAAGAGATTACTAAATTCTGTACATAAATGGGCTTCAAAATGGTAAAAAAATGAAATTTAAAAAAATGGAAATTTTCATGAACTTTTTTGAAGCCCCCTCATCCCTACCAAAAAAAAAAAAAAAAAAAAAAAAATGGAGGTGAAATGCCCCTAACATAAAATTAACCATTTGAAGTTGACAGTTCAATGGCATTTAGTACATACACATAATCAGTGTTGTGCAACTACCGCCTCTAACTAGCTGTAAGACATTTCCATTAAGTAAGTATTCCTCATAACACTTCCTGCCACAAGCCACTGGTAATCACCAGTATGCTTTCTGCGCCTACATTGATGTTAGGTGCTATTGAGTCAGTTCTGCCCCTGTGTACCAAAGCATGAACTACTGCCCAAACCTCACAATCATTGTTACCTTTGAGCCAGTGCTGCTGCCACTGTGCCAATCCATCCTGTTGGGAGTCTTCCTCTTTTCTGTTGACCCTCCACTTTACCAGACATGATGTCCTTCTCCAAGGACTGGTCCCTCCTGATAGCATGGCTAAAGTCTGAAAGACAAAGTCTAGTCATTTTCACTTCTAAGGAGCATTCTGTTTGTACTTCTTCCAACACAGA